GGATGTTATCCACCACTAGCACGTCTAATCCTGAGAAAAGGAAGAGCCCTAACCTAAAGAAAAAAGAAACTTGACTAAAACAAGGTTGGTGCCACTAAGGGCATTATCCACATGCATATCTAATCATAAGGAAAGGAAAAACCCTAAACTAAAGGAAAATAAAATTTGATTAAACTATGATATTGCCTCGAAGGGCGTTATCCTCCACCATCATTTCTAATTCCAAGGAAAGAAATAATTCTACCATAAAGGAAAAGAATATTGGATTAAAGTATGATGGTGCCACGAAAGGCATTTCATCCACAAGCATGTCTAATGTTATGAAAAAGATAATTCTAACCTAATGGAAAAGAAAATTGGATTAAAGTATGATATTGCCACGAAGGGCGTTATCAATCACTAGCACAACTAATCCTAAAGAATAGAAGAATCCCAACTTAAAAGAAAAAAAAAACTAGATTAAATTAAAACGGTGCCAGAAAGGGCATTTTTCTACCACTAGCACATCTAATCCTAATGCAAGAAAGTATTCTAATTTAAATGAAAAGAAAACTTAGTTAAATTAGTATGGTGCCACATAGGACATTGTACACGAATAGAATATTGAAGGGTGTTGTCCACCCCTATAACGTCTACTCCTATGGAAAGGTAGAGTCCTAATCTACATAAAAGAAAATTGGATTAAAGTAGAACGGTGTCACAAAGGGCATTATGCATGACTTAAACATATAAACTTTAGGAAAGTAAAAATGTTAACCTAAAAGAAAGGAAAACTGGATTAAATTAGGATGGTACGACAAATTTCATTATCCACCACTAGCACATACAATTCTAAGGAAAGATGGAATGCTAACCTAAAATAAAAGAAAATTGTATTAAAATTATGATGGTGCTATAGGCACTACTAGCATGTATAATCCTGAGGTAAGGAAAATCCTAACCTAAAGCAAAAGAAAATTAGATTAAACTAGGTTGGTGTCATGAAGGACATTATCCACTACTAACACTTCTAATACTAAGGAACGGAAGAATACTAACCTAAATGAAAAGAAAACTAGATTAAATTAGTATGGTTCCACGAAGGGTATTGTCCACCACTAGCATGTCTAATCCTAAGAAAAAAAAGAATCTTAAAAGGAAAATATAACTGGATTAAAACTAGGATTATGGCACGAATGGCATTATCCCCCACTAGCACCTTTAATCCTAAGGAAAAGAAAAATCCTAACCTAAAGGAAAAAAAAATTGGATTCAGCTAAGATGGTGCCAAAAAGGGCATTATCCACCACTAGCATGTCAAATCCTAAGGAACATAAGAATCCTAACCTAAATGAAAAGAAATCTGGTTTAAACTATTATTGTTCCACGAAGGGCGTTGTACACGACTAGCACGTCTAATCCTATGAAAAGGAAGAATCATAACCTAAGAGAAAAGAATATTGGATTAAACTAGGATGGTGCCACGAATGGCAATGTCCACCACTAGCACGTTTAATCCTAAGGAAAAAAGGAATCCTAACCTAAAAGAAAAAATAATTGGATTAAAATTAGGATGGAGCCATGAAGAGCGTTATCCACCCCTAGCACTTTTAATCCTACAGAAAGGAAAAATCCTAACCTAAAAGAGAAAAAATATTGTATAATAAAAATGAAGAACCCTAACTTAAAAGAAAAAGAGAACTAGATTATACTAGTATGGTGTCAGAAAGGGCATTGTCCGCCACTAGCACATCTATTCCTAAGAAAAGGAAGAATTCTAACAATCTAACCTAAATGAAAAGAAAACTGAATTAAACTAGTATGGTGCCATGAAGGATATTATGCACAACTAGAACGTCTAATCCTACGAAAAGGAAGAATCCTAACCTAAAGGAAAAGAAAACTGGGTTTACTTTTAGTGTTCTCCTTTTGAAGGTAATGGATGATTAATTGAAAACTTTATTTCTCTTGTTTGAATTCTCATGAAAGCTTGAGATATTGGAGTGAGATCCCTAGGAGAGGGAGAATTGTTCAACACCCACCAACCTAGATGAGTCGGGTTTGTGGTTTTACCTTCTATCTCTTTCTTTCCTCTCTTTATCACCACCGGCCATACCTTCTTTCCATCACCTTGTCCAAAATTTCATCAACACCAAACCCCTTCTTCATCCCTACCAAATTCTCTAAACCACCTCCACCTAGTCGCCGGTTCCCTTACCCGAGCCCCATTCAAGCTGTCGGTCCTAGCCCCTTGCCTACTCATGGATTTACTTCCTAATTTTGATAGTCATAATTTAGATAGATTTTGAATTCAAATTCACCCAATTTAAAATCTTTCCTAAATTATAAAATCTATTTTGCGAAAGTTTCCAAATCTTTCCTTATTGGATTTTAAATTATTTTAGAATGAATTATTTCTTTCCAAATCTAATCATCAAAATTAAGGAAGCATTAAAGCCTCCTTAATTTCCCCCATCCCCATAAAGTCGTCGGCCCCCTCTCTCTACCCGCCTCTCCTCTCTCTCTCTCTAATCCCCTCTCTCTCTACATTAACACCTCTCTCCTCTCTAGGAATTAAATTCAAATTTGATTCCTAATTGCCCCCCCAAATTAAAAATCTGAAATTTATTTTAGGTTTTTAATTAATTATTTCCCTCTTAAACTACTTCTCCTTTTCCAACCTGAAGTAAAGTTTCTCAAACCACCTTCCCTTGGCCGGTTACCTCTCTTACCTCCTCCTGCTTGGATTTTGAGAGAACTCCCTCTCTCTCTCAAAAGGTAAACAATAACGGAAACCAAGAGACTAGTCCTCCCGCACCTCAACGCTACAAGTTCAATGTGTGGCCGATCCGAAACTTGATTACGAACTCACCTATGACGAGCAAGGATTTGTTTGCATCCTACATTCGACCTTCTTCGACGTTAATCCGTGCATCGATTATACCATAGAAGAGTACGTATGGTCAAGGCTATTGAAGAGCAACTTTGAATCGTTCAGTGGAGGATTACAACCGATCCTTAATGAAGGTCTTCTAATCTTCCTCTTCCTGTATTTCCTTAGCTTAACCCTCTTTCTTGGGATTTGATTTTAGTCATGATGATCGTGTTCTCCTAATTCTGCCAAGCTTAGTAAACGAAGTTAATTGAGTGCACTTCATTTGTTTCTAATCTTATTGTTAGATTAGGGATTTTCGTTGAAAGCTATTATATTTACATAATGTTGATTTCCTATGTTATTTTGTTGATTCAAAGCTCTTGATGTGAAACTTGGCCTAAACGAAAGTGACCGCTCTTACGTTTTATTTTATCATATTTTATTTACTAATAGTTCTAATTGTTATCATTCTAATCAATAAATCGTGCAAGTTCTTTTCAAGTAATTTGCATGCATTGTAGTCCTACATCAAATAGTTTTTATATTGTATAAATAAATAAATAAATAAAATATTAAATACTATTACATCCATATCATGGGTCTCAAGAAACAAAGTTATTTCCTAATATCTATTTTACATTCTGATAGATCTCCTTGCTTGCAAAATCTCTTTAGTTGCTAAACCATAAAACCAAGTATACTTAAATTGCATACCCAGGTGCTCTCACAATCCCGCTGATACAAGATTTGAAAAGAAATTAACGCACACGGTTTCATTCCTGAATTTGCAAAGAGGTGATTTTCCTACCTCATATGACCCTCATAAGTGGAATCCTAAGGACTTAGTATTGCCTAATCATAGAAAAATTTGAAACCTTAAGGTCCTTGGGTGACCCTACTTTGGAGCCAACGCTAGACCTTCTTAAGTCCATTGAAAGCCTTATCAACTTTTTACATACTAATTTGTATTAGGTTGAAGCCAAACCCAAAAGTACCCCTAGGTAGGACCTTAGGTTAAGATGAATAATCCATGGTCTAGTTGATCCTAAATTTACTTAGAAGCCACCCAAGGACCCTAGGACATTTCCTAATGACCTAAGATTGGTAGTGGACTACCTTAGGTCAATTAATTCAACTCTAAATTAAACCTTTAAAAAATAAAACTACACCCAAAATACCCTAAAAACCCTAGCAGATCTTTTCTATAGTAGCATTAGTTGCACAAAACCAAGCAAAGCATGTGACAGTTAGGCTAAAAATGCTGGTGACTTCTACTAATGACCTAATAGACCTTAAGCATAAAATTCTCTTTAGAGCAGAGCAAATCCAATACTACTCTAATTTAGAAAGCAGGTTTTCTCAAGATAACATGCCAGTTATTCAATTCAGGACAATATATAAAATAATGAGATAAATTATACAATGATCTTAAAAAATTGCATGGCATTGGCTCTAAAGAATATACATAAAGATAAAAGCTTTTTAATGCAAATCATTCCAAGCCATCAGTTTTTTCTATCAAGATTATCACAAAAACCATGTGTCATGTCCCATTTTACATATAAGCATGTTCATTTTATGTTTCATATTTAGTTTATATAATAAATACATATTAAGTTCTTCCTTATTATTCAAGCATTTTGGGCATGGTTTCAGATACCTTCACATCTAAAAAAGGCTATGGTATTGTATTTTCATTATGCTTTGAATGAAAACCTTTAGTTGCTCACCAAACCTACTCATTTCTCTCTCACACACACATATTCCCTCACCCTTTCTCTCTTTTAAAATCCCATCTGGACCTTTCCTCTTCTCCTCTTCCCGAAGTTACAAGGCTTTTCCACTTAGTCTAAAAAATAATTCAAGAAAATCATTGTTATTTGCATTTTTGCTGCAGGACAGTCATGCCGAGCAGAATATGCAGATCATTATGTAATGCAAAAATAAAATTCCAACTAAACAAATTATAAAGCAAACTTTTGCAACGTGGGTTCATGAATGTAGTTTACTAAAAGGTCCATATTCTTAAATTATGACATTCAAAAATAGTGTATTAATTATATGGATATTTATTAGCATATTTCTGCAAGTTGAATTTCAATATGTAGACTTCATTAAAAATTTGAAGTTGTAGAGAATTCATCAGTTGAAGTTGCATGAACCAAGCGATTTCACTAGAAATTAAAATTTTGTGTTCATAGTCGAGAAGGATTACCACCTCAAGTCCACTCCAAGGATGTTTTCCAGTAAACAATACAATGATAGTAAAACCCATGCTCCAAATATCAACAGCAAAATCATAACCAACATCCTTGTTCATTGTAGCTTGTACAACCTGCATAATTAGGTGGAGCGAAACTTCAGATGATAAAGATAGCATATTCTAGAATAAACAATTAAAATGGTGAAACAATAATTCTCCTGGAGCTTTACCAGGATTATCAATGTCAATAAAAAAAGTAATAGACACAGAAGTTGTTTTTGCTCATTATAAGGGGAACAGCTCTCCTCCCATAACTAACAAACCAACCAACAAGGCAACAATAATAGAAACCCAACAATCTCAAGGTCAATAAACAGGACGCATACAATTAAGAATTACGAGTAAATATTGGAAATAAATCAATCAATTTTGTAACCATAGAAAGTTAAGTTATTATACCAAGGGAATGTTTTTGTGATAACACGGATACACCGTAAAGAAATGAGTTTTCTTACCAAAAAAGCCTTGTAATTCTAATCAACATATAAAGGACAGACTAAGATGATGGCTTTCAATTTTTTTTTTTTCGACAAAGGTAACCATTTATATCAGGAACTAAAATGGACAGTGGAATGCTTCTCAATTCTTTCATAAAAATTACACCAACAATTTAGAGTATTCCCTCCAATCTCATCACATGCCTAGGTTGTCCCAACAATACCATGTCCCAATAGCAATGCCTCGCAAAACTTGACCTCCCTCAAAGAAATAGCAATGCAAACTTCTTGATATATAAACCACAACAGTATTAAGATTAATATTTGGGCTATCCGGTGCTCAAAATGGAAAAAGCCCAAAATAAAAACCCAACTATTTGTCTACGGACAATCTAGTTCCAAAATATTACATTTCTCACATTTAATCTATTGACTATACAAATAATCCAAAATATTTTCTTAAAGAAAAAATTGGGATCACATTTGTGTAGGCAAGGGACAAATTTATGATAATCTTGACCGCGGAAGCTAGGTTGCTCATTAGGGTTTCTAAACGGGTCAACCGGGTCAGTTTAGAATTGTCAGGTCAACCCGAACCCGACCCGATTTTTAAAATGTGTTGACTTTACTAACTCGAACCCAACACGTATGTCAAATGGGTTGACCCGAACCCGGAATTTTTCGAGTCGAGTTCAGGTCGGGTTTTGGGTCGTGTCAAATATTGACACCCCTAATGGCAAGGTCACAAAAGAGATTGCAACCAACGTTTTTTCATAGGTGTGTAATGTGGGTCGCAGCAGGTTTTGGTGGTCACAGATTAACAAAATGTCACAATGAGGTTGGAGGTCGCAACTAAGGTTGTAGGTGGAGGTGCGGGACGCATGCAACTATGAGATTGAGCAAAGAGAAAAAGCAAAGCATTGCTAAACAATGTATTCTAAATTGACCTAATTCTGGAGATTTCAAAATACAGCAAAAATGAATTATTTGGTGAGTTTCAAACTCTCGAAAAAAATGCTTAGAATTTACCTTACTCTCAACCAAGCATTCTACATCATGACACCCATCCTTTTAAAATGCAATACACTTAAAATATTCCCAACCAAGCAATCCCTAAACGAAGGACTAAATGAACAATAATTATAGAGTAAAAGATGACAATATTATCAATTTATCATTGATCCTATTCAAATTCAAGTAATAAGAAATCCATAGTAATAAAAGTTATAAGGAAATTGGAAGAATTTGATATGAGAAATAAGGAGTGATCTAGTTGATGCCAGAACTTCAACGTCATCTACTAACAGTGCAAGAAAAAAAAAATAGCATTGCATGAATGTTTACTTTGATTCAACACTAAAGTTTGTAGACTTGTGGTTTGTGACCAGTAAAATTTTACATGTCAATCCATACTTTGGAAGAATTTTTTTCATAAAAAAAACTGGAAAAGCATTGTAAGGGTGACTATGTTTTTGGAATTTCAAATGCATCATGTAAATTATTAAATTTCATTTATCATGAAAGAATTATACCTCCTGACCAACAAAGGAAGAAATATTGATGGAGAAAGACATTTTTACTGTCAGTTCCTCCACTTTGATGGTGGGCAGTGCGTTCCCAGAGCTTTTATCAGCTATTGTTTCTCCAATCTGCATAAACATGAGAATAATAATAAGCTATCCTCCACATGACACGTTTCCATAGAAAAAGCTCATAGATATGCAGACTCAAAAAAATACAACTACAGGTTGGGTCCCGGTGGACTGCTTACCATTATATCATTTATTCAACAAATGGAACAAATATCTCCAGCCTCCACATTCTCAGTTGGGACCCTGCTGAAGTTCTGATAAACAAAAAGTTCACTGACTTTTGCCAGTCTACATGTTTAATCTGATGTGCAAACCTACAATCACAGAATTTTCATGAACTAAAAACTGGATATTTTCTACATAAAGTTGTCCGTATCCATATGCACTCTTCCCTCCTTCCAAATGCCGATCCTTCCACTGGAACATTTACATATATAAATAAACATGCATGAAAAGATGTTCACCTTTAACAATATATCATCATTATCATTTTCCATAGATTTCTTTTCTCCTATTGTTCTAAACATTAAATGAAGAGATGGATTCTTACTTACAAAAGCATTAAATAGAAGATGGGAAGGGAAGCTGATTTGACCAAGCATGGATGATATTTTCCAAGTCCTTATCTAGATAGAGATAATTTCCATTTCCCGCCTTCTTCGAGCAAATCATAAGCTTTGCACTGCGCTTTAGTAAAGGAAAAAACCAACCTGTTGCAATTAAAGCCAAGAGATTTACAACAACCTTAGCAGTTGCTTATTACTTAAATAGGAAAAGTTATATTCCCAAGTGCAAAAGCCATGCTTTAATTAACTTGCTTCGCACTTAGAAGATAGTAATTGATGCAATGAAACCTTATGTAAAAGAAGAGTTTGGCAAATATAAATATCATATAAATAATTACAAATATATTGATCGAAATATTAATGAGTTTCTAAAAATGTCTATCAAATTACCCAAATAAGAAGAAAATGAACAACTAAGCAATGAAAATTTGGGTATTGCTTATGGAGAAGCTGTAATTCCTTGCGAAAAAACTCATCTCTAAGGAAAGCTTGTTGAGCTCGAACTGTTACCAGTTTCTCTTGACATTGAGTATTAATCTCATTCAGGCTTCATTTGAGATGACTTTTTTATTACTTCTTAAAGCAGAGTTTAATACAAAAATTTTAATTTTTAATTAAAACACTTTTAAAAGGAAATAAAAAAAGTCATCACAAACAAAGCTTTATCTCTCCAACAACGTAACAAGACGATAATAAAAATCAAATTAAATGCAAGATGAATTTTCTGTTGCGAAAAAATAAAAAATAAAAATGTTATCAAATTTACCTCTATGCTGAGTATTTTCCTTGAAATCAGCTTCTTCTTGTTCTTTGGTCAGTTTCATAATGTATTCAAGGAATTTCTCTTCAAGTCCCTCAAATGTTGAGGGATGATTGATCTCGTCATAGCCAACTTCTTTATTATCAATTGGATCTCTAACCATTTGTTTCTCCAATCCAATTTGGGAGTCTGGTCTTTGATCTTGGTATGCAGATCGAGAAGAATCGCTTACTTGACATAAATCTCAAATTTTTACTCTCCTTGAGCTTTATAAGCCAATAAGGGAACAGCTTTCCTAAGCTAGATAAATGAAATGAATATCATAAGAACGTTTTGTATGATAAGGTTCCCAAAAAGAAAAAGCCAGGATCATAAAGTTGATTCTAGAAAGTTATAAAATGAAAATTGCAATAGCGGACACAGAGATGAACACCACAAGGATTATAGCAATATTAAGGATCAATGGATAAAACATTAGCAGGAAACAATGGAGCATTCTCTTCACAATCTACAGAAATAAAACTGTCACAAAAAATTTCTAGAAAAAATTTCATTATTGGAATTAAAAATAAGCAAAGATTTTAGAAAGGAAAATTATTTCCATAATTAACATTAAATTGCATTTCAAATTCAATTAATTAGATCAATACTATGACCTTTAGATGATTTACGAAAGGAACATTTAAATTGTGATTTTTTTACACAGAAATTACTTGGAAAGTATGGGGAGAGTCTTTCAAAATTATAAAACAAAAAAATATGCATGGTTAACATGATTTTCAAGTATTACAAGATTTCTATGATGATTTTGAAACACAGACTATGCAGAATAGAATCTGCTTCCATAGTAAAATTGTTCAACTCAATAGAAATCTTTGATTTATCATATTTTTTCATAGAAACATGTCAATTTCATTTCTTGGGAAAAAATTTTCAAAAAACCGAGTTAAATTCTTTCAAGGGAAGGAGACATAGAGGGCAACAAATTAAGCACAGGAGTAGCAATGAAAATAAAATAATTGATTGATAGACATTGCTAGAAGAATCAGGTAATTAAGAACAAGATTGACATCAAGAAAGCCTCTGCAGTTTAAAAGGAAATAAATGTGATAGAAAATGAATTGAAAATCTTGTCCTTGGTTCACAAATCAAAAAGAGTCTTTTTATCAAAATATATGAAAAACTGAATTTTTCTCATCCAATAATTTTAACTTAGTATAATCTACCCAACTAACATGATGAGTATATTTCGTGATTAAATTACCCAATACCTAGTATAGAGCTCTATTACACCTCCATAAACCTCTTTTCACAAAAAATAGAGCTTAATTTTCAACTAACTTTTAGATCAAGATGATACTTAAGAAGAAAATCAAAAACAAACAAAATAGATAAAAATATTATCCATAAAGTCAAAGATGACATGGCTTCTTAATGTCATAATTAGAGATGGTGATTAAGTTGATATACAGCACCAGATCCGTGCTTATCCG